AAGAGTGTCAATGAGGAGTCCTTCTTTTCGAGGGGGCTTGAGAAGGGGCTTGAAGTCTCCTTCGAGAAATCCAAAGCCGCGAACAAATGAACGTAAACGTAGGCGTCAACTCACAAGAAGGAGAGAAAGCGGGACGACAACGCTTTAGGAACGATGAATGGCCGCAGGCTCGCCTGTTCAAGGCCGCAAGAGTTCAACCTTTGGGTTTGGAACTCTATGTTCGAACTCTCGGTGGCCAAAGTTCAAACCCTGGGTTCTGAAACTCTGTGTTCGAACCCTGTTCGAACTCTGGAGGGGTAAGTCCAGACCCGAAGTTCAAACATGGAGTTTCCGAACTCCGGGTTGAAAATAGAGTTCCTGAACCCTGGGGTCCGCAACTCTACGTTCGAACATGAATTTCCTCCGGGTTGGAACATAGAGTTCCCAAACCCTGGGTTCCGGAACTCTGTGTATGTTCGAACCTGGGTTCAGACTCTTTCTCTTTTGAAGTTCAACTTCAGGTTCAACTCCAGTTCAAGAAGTTCGGAGTTGCGCTCAACTTGGAGTTCAACTGAAAGTTCGAACCCGGGGTTCGGAGAGAACTTCGATGTTCGAACCCTGGGTTCGAGGCTCCGAACTCCAAGTTCGGAGTTCCAGAACCCTGGGTTCGGAACTCTAAGTTCCGAACCCCGGGTTCAAACACCCCTAAAAACCTATGTAGGAGCAACCTCTGCCAGCTCATCCAGAAGGCCGAGTAGGCGGCGCAGCGGTCAGAGTTGCCAAGCGCAGTCCCTGCCAAACCCAAGCAAGGGCAAGTTGCCTGCACTGCGGCGGCTGGCTGGTCGCCTGTGCACAGCAGTTCGCAACAGCTGCATCGCAGTCCGCAGCGAAATGGGCTGTGAGTGCGGACGGGCAGATGGGTTCCTCGCCGTGGCGGCGCAAGTCGGAGATGTGTGCTGGCTCCTTTCTTGCTGCGTTCCAGCCGGTTTGCTTCGGTTGAGCTCAATGCACGCATGCTCGCGAAGTGCCTGTTGACAGGCAGTTTCCGGATGGCTCGCCGCCTTCAAATTGCCGTACCTCGTGAGCCTGTCAGCGTCCAACGTACATGCTGTGGGAGGCATAGAATGGCGCACGTCGTGCAGCAGCGCTGCAAGCCGGGTCTCTGTCTGAACCATCTCGAAACACACACTTACGCATGACATCCTCTGACAGCTGCGCAATACGCTCAATATGTAGAGAGCAGATCAGCTTGGAAATGACGCAAGCTGAAAACTAGACTGACTTTGCTGTGTCCAGCACTGGTTGTTTCCACACCCGCGAAAGTCAGCGGTCAGTTCGCAGTGCTTTACCAGATGAAGCAGGCCACGCCCCAGATTGACCATGGATTCCCGAATGCGGATGGAACCGTCCGGTTTCAGGATGTGTGGCTCACAGTTGCTGGACAAAACTCTACTTTTTTTCTCCGCACCTTTTTGCTGGCTCGCGTGCGGAGACGCGGGCCACGGGCTCCGGCTGCCACTGCCTGCCGCACCGCTACTGCCAGAGTCGCCCACCACCGTCTCGTCCAGGCGGGCTGCGGCTCGCAGTGCCGGCGGGGCCCGTTGGGCTCGAACGCGCTCCGACAACCCGCTGGCGCTGCTTCGTTCCAGCGCCCGCCGATCTCGAAGCCGAGCACGAGGAGCCGCTGCGAGCCTCCGGACCTGAGCTCTGGGTAGGCAGCTCGCTTGCGCCGCTCTGCAACCCAGCATGGCACCGTGCGCCGCGGTGCTGGGTTGTGGCTGGCCCGTTCAGGTCAGCGGCGACACAAGGGTCGCGTCGCAGCACAAGGCTCCTCCCAACAGGCGATGCGCCGTAGATGACCAAGTCAAGACGAGGTCTGTCGACTGGCGCAGGCGGAGGGGGAGTGGGAGGCGCAGACGGCGGCGCAGCGCAAGCTGCATCGCTTGCGGGGGACGGCGTGGTGGCTGGGTCGGCCAGGATGGCGGTTAACCAGGCACCCGCGTGCGGCCCAGCTCAAGAGCTCGCAGGCGCTGGGCGGCATGTCTGGTAGCAACGTGCGCTCGCGGAAGTGTGCAACAGTTGTGTCCCTGCCCTTTGTACACACCGAACGCATACCGCAGCCCTGAAATCAGAGCGAGAAAGTGTTTTCATGGTAGCGGAGCCCGGTCCGATCTAGTCGGCCGGGTCTTCCGAGTAGGAATTAGGGCCCGAGGTTTGGGGTGCCTGGCCTGAAGTTTCACCACATAAGAGCCTTCTTTGTGCTTCTTTTGTTTTCTGGCGCCGCTGCACTTAACTGTGCCGGCCGCTTTGGCACAGAGGCTGTTGCACTTAACTGGGCCAGCCACTTCAGCACAGGAGTCGCTGCACTTGACTGTGCCGACCTCCCTGGTGGAGTTCGGGGATATTTTTCCATCCGCGTAAGACCCCCTGGTCGAGGGGCAGCACCGGAGCCCAAGGGCAGACCTGGTATTGGTGAGCAGAGGTTTTTCAGGGAGGCTGGCAAGTTTTTACCTGCAGGCCGGGAACCAGAACGGGCAATGGACAATGGTGCAGCAAGTGCGGCGCAAGCTGGGCAGAATGATCCGGCCCAGGCGGGGCAGCAAGCTGGTGTTATTCCACTGGACCAGGTGGACAGAGTGGTGAGACAAAGGCTGGAGCAGGCTTTCAATGGAGTATTCGGGCGACTTTTAGCCACAACGGAAAAAGCGGCGGCAGCTGCGGAAGCGAGCGCGAGCTCGCGCAAGACGGAAAGCATGATGAAGGGGCTGAAGGTCGACACCTTCAAGCCCACAACTCGAGAAGAAGAATTGAGAGGCTGGAAAGAATGGTGGTTTGGGTTTTCCACTTATGTTTGTGGGCACGACGTGGCCTATGAAGATGACTTCAAGGGCATCGACCTGAACGTGGAAGTGGACCACAGTCTTTTGAGCGATGCTGAGGTGGAGCGCAGCAGAAAGCTCTACAGCTTATTGTGCTCCCTCCTCAAAGGGAGACCCCTGCTCCTTATCAAGGGGCTGGAGTCCTCAAAGAATGGTTTCGAGGCTGTTCGCCTGCTGCGGCTTGCCATGGAGCCGCAAGAGAAGACAAGGAGTCTGGCGTTGTTGCGCCAGCTGGCAACGTGGACCTTCCAAGGTGGCGTGGGGCTTCAGGAGCAAATCGTGAAGTACGAGGAGGCCCTAAAGATGTATGAGGACGCGAGTGGAAAAGAGTATCCTCAGGAGATGGTTTTGGCCACGGTGGTGAATGGCCTCAAGGACCCTCTTCGGAGCCAGGTGCAGATGAGGCTGACCAACCGCACCACCTATGCCGAGGTGAAGGAGTGGGTCACCCAATATGAGAACCTCAATGCGCCTTGGAGTTCCTCATTGCAAGGCGGCAGGGGAGCAAGGCGCGACGACCCACAGCCTATGGAGATCGACGCCATCAAGGGCAAACCTGGCAAGGGCAAAGCCAAGAACGGCAAGGGCAAAGACAAGAACGGAAAAGGGAAAGGAAAGGATGGAAAGGGCAAGTTCAAAGGAAAGCCCGGAGAAGGAAAAGGCTGGAACTCTTGGACCGGCTGGCAAGACGGCGGCGGAAAGTGGAAGCAGCAACCTGGAGGATGGAAGCAGCAGGGCGACTCAAGCTCTAGCCCGGGTGCCTGGAGCACCGGCACCTGGAACAATGGCGGCGGCTGGGGCAATGGCGCCTGGAACGCGGGCAAGGAGAACAAGGGCAAGACCGGGAAGGGCAAAGGTGGTGGCTGCAACATTTGCGGCGACCCTCGGCATTGGAAGAACGAGTGCCCCAAGGCGAAGGGCAAGGGAGTGAGTCAAGTGGAGCAGGCGTCGTCGGCGAGTTCAACGGCCGGGGTTTCGACAAGCGCCTCTTCCCTGCCTTCGTCTGCTTCTGCCCTTAGGGGCCAAGGGGCGTATGGCATCAACCGCGTCAGGGCCTTCAACTGCGGAACGCCCCCAGGGTGCAGGGTGACAGAGGTATTTGATATTTCCGAGCTGGAGGATGAAGGGGAGTTCTCGCTTGATGGGCCCGAGGTCTTGATGATCAGCGCGGTTGGCCTTGTAGACTTCCCGGAGGCAAGGGCTAAAGTGGAGCACATCGGCTTTGCAGTCCCGGCCGGTGTCCCCGTCTTCTCCATGGACCATACCGACGGCGACGGGGAATACACGGTGGCCGGCGAGGACCCAGAGGTGTTCAGAGTTCTTGCCGTGACCGGCCAGAGCAGGGAAATGGACGTTGTCATTGACAGCGGGGCTGATGTGTCTGTGGCCCCCTTGCACTTCAAGAGCTACGGTTGCCCAACCAGGCGGTCGGGAATAGTTATGCAAGACGCCCAGGGCCGGAAAATCACGGAGGTTGACACGAGGATCCTTGAGGTCAGTGTCCAGACCTTGGCCGGGGACGAGGTGACGATCAGGGAGCGGTTCTGCATAGCGAGGGTGCGGTCCACCATTATCTCCTTGGGCCGGCTGCTTAGGGCGGGCTGGCTGCTGGGAGATGAAGGAGGGAGGCCTGTGATTCACAACCGCCCCCACAAAGTCCCAATACGCTGGGCGCGATGATCTCCGAGGTGGCCGCACCGAACGAGGAGGAGGAGGCAGAGCTCTCCGAAAGGGCAACAGCCCAAGACACCACAGCCCCAGGGCCGAGGCGGGGCATCAACATGCTGACCTTCGACGATATCGGCCCTTTGCCACCAGAGTTGGAGGATGTGGTTCAGGTGCCGGGGTGGCACATTGTCCCCAGCGGTCTTCCAGTGCTGGTGACACACGCCACCGAGGAGCTCGAGCTTGAACGTTCTCTTTGGGATGTCAGCGATTGGTGCTGGCTTGCTGTGTTCGTCAAGGTTGAAGCCAGCAAGGGCCTGCCAAAAGCAGGTGATGTGTGGGTGCAGGTGATGGCAATGGAGACCGAGAGCTTTGAGGCAGCGCCAAAGAACCTGGCCGAGATCGACGAGGAGCTTGCCGGGAAACATGACACAGTGGTGGTTCTCCACGTAGACGAGCTGCCTAAGAACCTGCTGACAGAGCCCATGGACTATTTCAAGGAGCCGTTTGGAGGTGAAGTGGCGGTCCTCGTGGGCAACGACGCGGCAGGCATTGGCGAAGATCCCATGGAGGTGGTCGGTGAGGGCCGCACACACGAGCGCGAGCAAGCCGATGAGATCGAGGAGCTTGAGGGGGTGCGGCTCGAAGAGGCAACGCCCCTAAAAGAGCTGAGACGGCTTTGCGACAAGATGGGCCTTCCCAAATCGGGGGGGAAGCCAAAGGTGCTCAGGCGGCTACGGGACCACTATGAGACCCTGGAGAAGCGCCTCAGCGCAGAGATTGCGCGGAAGATGTACCAGGAGGCCGAGCGCATCCCGGAGATGCCTAAGCTGCCTAAGCTCCCGAGCGTGGTTCAGCAGCAGCTCCATAATGTCACGCACCATCCCTTTGCTGCTTGGTGCGAGGCTTGCGTCCTTGGGCGGTCAAAGCAAAGTGCGCACCCGAAGGCGAGTCCCGAGCAGCCGGTGGAAGAAGCAAGGAAGGTGCCCAAGATTGAGATCGACTATTGCTACACCTTCACGAAGCATCGTCATGAACTACAAGAGGGAGAAGAAACTGAGCCGAAGGCCGAGGAGGAGCGAGCCGAGGGCGATGCGGATGACGCCGCGAGGCGTGCCGAGGGCAACGAGCCGGAGAGCAAGGCCGCGAACCCGGAGGACACCAAGATCGATTACCGCGACCAGTATGGCCTTACCTTGGTGGCGGCTGAAAGCAGCACTGGGTGGCTGCTTGCCATCCCGGTGTTGGAAAAGGGAGCTGGAGCCCTGAAGCGGGTTGTGGAGCAGTTGGTTCGTTTATCCCTCCAGGTGGCACCAGGACAAGCGGTGCTATTTCAAGGAGACCCTGAGCCCTCGATTCGCCAAATTATCAATGCATGCGAGGCTTGCCGCTCGCGGCTGGGTTTGGCCACGGAGAAGAGATGGGTGCCAAGGGCCAGCCACGCCAGCAATGGGCAGGCCGAGAAAGCCATCCAGACCATCAGGACCAACGGTCTGACCCTGAGATCCTTTGTTGAGGCAAGGATTGGCGCCTCAATTGAAGGGCACCGACACTTTTACCCGTGGGTGATGCGACATGCTGGGTTCTTGTACAACAGGTTCTCTGTGAACCCCCGCGGCGCCACAAGCTATGAGCTCATGCATGGCCGCGCTTTTCGTGGGCAACTGGTGCCGCTGGGCGAACAAGTCCTTTACTACCGACCCAGCAAACACAGAGGAGATTTACAATGGTGCCGGGGCACCTGGTTAGGTGTTCATGAAAGAAACGGGGCGCACCTGATTGGCACCGCCGAGGGCATCCACGAGACACGCTCTATTCGAAGACTACCTGAAGAACAACAATGGGATGCAACAGCCCTGCTTGGAATGAAGGGGCTGCCGTGGTCGTACATGGGTCGCGGAAAACGCAAAAGACCGCTTTACACTGGGGCGGCTGCCACAAGAGTTCCATTGCTGCCCGACTCTAGCACCTTGGAGGAACTCGCTCGGGCGGCAGGCCGAGCAGCCGCAGAAGCAATTTCAAGCGGTACCCCTGTGCCGCCTTCAAGGCCCGGACCGGGGCCAGGGCCAGACGAGGCGGGGTCAGATCCCTCCTCGAGCCCTAGCTCCCGAGGAGGCACGGCACGAGAACCAGACAGACCACAAGAGGAATCACAACAGCGACTTCGAGCACAAGGGGGCGATCACAGCCAACAGGCGCGAGAACCAAACAGACCACAGGAGAAATCACGACAGCGACTTCAAGCACAAGGGGGTGACCAGAGCCAACAGGAACGAGAACCAGGCAGACCACACGAGGAATCACGACAGCGACTTCAAGCACCACTTGGGAGGGTGCGCAACTAGGACAAGGGGGTACAGCCAGTATGGACACAAGTGGCACAGGTGGAGTTCCGAGGGAGAGGCCGGACGAGCTGGGGGTCGCGGTGCCTAAAAGGCCTCGTCTTCTGCTAGACCGACCAGAGAGGATGACACCTAGCCCTGCAGCTTCACCTGGTGCTTCGTCATCCCTTTACCCACCGGGCTTTGCAGGTGTGAACCAGGTCTGCGATGACATTCCAGGGCAAGAGCTGGCTGGACTTGACACCTGGGACCCCGAGGTCGAAGAAGTCCTGGAGGAGGAGTGGTACAACGCAGATGGCATCGACGAGGCCTGGTGGGACGAGTTCGGCGAGAAGCCCCCCGAGGTGACCGAAGAGGAGCTGGTGATGATCGACCGACGGGCTGACCTGGTCGAGTTGGAAAGGCTCATGAGCATGGGCGTGGCGCGCTTCCCCAACAAAGGCGAGGACCTCTCCCAGCATGAGCTCTTGACGACAAAGCTTGTGCGAGATTGGAGGAAGCGTCCGGACTGGACTCGCAGGGCCCGGCTGGTGGCGAGAGAATTCAGAACACTGTCGGCTTGGACAAGCGATATGTTCGCTCCCGCAAGTTCCTTGGCTGTTGTTCATACGCTGATCTCCTACGCCCTCACGAATGGCTTAGAAATCACCACCCTCGACGTGAAAGACGCTTACTTGAATGTCGATCAACCAAGCAATGTCGTGATCCAAGTGGCGCCGACCTGTTCGAGGAGGGTGGCCTTGGAACCAAGACCCTGGTTCTGGAGAAGCTCCTGCCGGGGCAAAGGGTTGGAGCCAGCAGCTGGTACGAGATGGCCAAAAGCATCCTCGGCGAGGCTGGGATGGAAAGCTTTGGAAAGAACCTACGGTTTTCAAGGCCACTGGAGGCGAGAAGAGCGCCATGATCCTCCACGCAGATGACGGGTTGCTCGCCTCCTCCAAGGGCGAAAGAGAACGGATCATTGGCGTTTTCGCCAAGAAGGTCAAGGTGCAAACCGGGACCCCCATGGTGGAGGAAGGAGACACGCTGGAGTTCTTGAAGAGGAAGTACGTGCGGGTTGCCGCGGGTGTGGCCGTGTACTCCAACGGCAAGTACCTGGAGACACTCCTCAAGGCGGCCGGCTGCAACGCCAAAAGAAAGGACAGCCCAGCAGACCAGACCTTCCAAGAACCAGACGACACAAAGGAGCTCGACCCAAAGAGTGCCAAGATGTTCAAGGAGTGCGTGGGCCGGCTCTTGTATCTGGCCCACTCCCGGCCCGATATTCAAATGGCCGTTTGCGTGCTGAGCTCCCGCATGGCGCACCCAACCACTGGAGCAAAGAAGCAGCTTTTCCGTGTCATTGGATATCTGGCTGGCGCGCCCGACCTGGGTTTCCTCATCAAGCCAATTGTGCCGGGGGCACGGCTGAAGTGGCCCGGCAACGGCTGCACCACCGAGGTGCCAATCTACGAGGTGGAAGCGGTGACTGATGCTGATTGGGCCGGGTGCAAGAGGTCGAGGCGAAGCAGAACAAGCATTCAGCTTTATGTGGGGGGAGGCCTGGTTGGAAGCATGGTCCGCAGCCAGCGGTCCATCGCTTTGAGCTCTGCTGAGTCTGAGTACTTGGCCCTTGTCAGTGGGGCTTGTGAAGCGACCTACCTGGTGGATGTGCTGAGGTTTCTGGTTCGGGAAGAAGCCGAAGTGAGGCTTACATGCCTCACCGACTCAGCAGCGTGCAGAGGAATCTGCCAGCGCTTGGGCGCAGGCCGCGTGAGGCACCTTCAGTGTGCTGTTCTCTGGGTGCAGCAAGCGGTTCGGAGCAAGCAGCTCCGGATTGGAACGATCAGTGGCAGCGACGCGAGGTGGACTCGTCCATCGGAG